GGGCTCAGGAGCTGTCATAGAAACAGGAAGGGTTCCTTCACTGTGGGGTCAGGAGGCTTTGGAAATGTTTGGTTATAAGCGTAAGCTTGTGGGCTGTTAAGGTTATGAGTCAGAATTACTTTATACCTATATGGCATCTAAAACTAGTACAAAAGGTGTCACGTGGGTGAGAGCCCACTTCGGGGCAGCACAGATAGTCGAATGAAAAGCCTCAAGGACTTGCGTTTCTGGCCAGGAGACAACAGTTTGAGAATAAATTGATGGTAAGTGGAAGGCAAATGCTCAGGGAACAGGCAAGTAGACATTCCAAGAAAAGGGTAAGGATGACTGGAAAAGATGTGGTTTACAGGGCAATAGGATTGAGAGGCAAAAGGTCATAGATTAGGATGAAAAGTTGGAGCCCGAAGATGGTTATGGCATAGGTCATGCCAGTAAGTTTGAACTGGGCTTTACAGGGAAAAGAAACTCAAGTGGTTCTTAAGAATGATTATCTTGTATGTGTGAGTGTTTTGCTTACGGGTATGTCTGTGTTCCATGTGATTCCTCGTGCCCTCAGATCAGAAGAGGGAATTGAATCCTCTGGAACAGGGATTGCAAAGGGTTGTTAGCTGCTATGTGGGTACTGGGATTCGAACCTGGGGCCTTTGGGAGAGTAACAATACTCTTTTAACTGCTGAGCCACCTCATATATATATATATAATTAAAAAAATTTTATTATGTGTGAGTGTGTACTGTGTGTGTGAGTACCTGTGGAGGCCAGAAGACAGTTGTCAAATGCCCATAGAGCTGGAGTTACAGGAGCCTGTACTCCTGATGTGGGGCTTGGGAACCAGACTCTGGTCCTCCAGAAGGGCAGGAGTGCGCTCAGCCACTGAGAGCCCTCCAGCCCCTAAACTCGGGTTTTGAGTGGATAAAGTATAAGGACCTCGGGTGATGGATAAGGGAAGCAAGACAGGTGAAGCCGGTTTCACAGTGTCCGCCCGCTCGGGTTCCCTGACACGTCTGTGCCCACCTGGGCCGTGGTTGCTTGACTCCGCTAACGATGTCAGAGTGCATAGCTGCAGCCCTCCATCTAGACCTGCCGGGAAGAGATTGCCTCCTGAGACAGTAGTTCTCCAAAAGCTGCCGTCCCCAAACAGCCCTGCACACTGTGTCACGCACAAAGCTGTCGTCTTGAAAATAGATGAGACTGGAAGAAAGCAATTTTAACGATGAAGGCGTGTCTGGGCATTCAGGATTGGTGCTCATTTCTGCCATCTCTCCCGTCTAGCCGTCTATATCACCTGCATTTCCTTTAGAACCTGCTTCTAGATTGTACACTGAGGTCAGGGCTGTTTTCCCCATCTGTTTCCTCGAGAGATTTCCAAGGGCTAGTGACACGGTATTTCCTGGGGTGTGGCTGTTGCAGAATGGCAGGCAGGGCTGGGGGGATGGTTTCATAGCTACGATTCGGGCACTGGGTACCCAGCAGAATATTCTGCTCCAGTCCTCGCACGGCAGGTGTAGTCCATTACTCCTGTTTCTCTGGAAAGCTTTAAAAACCACCTAGTGCTGGAGCCAGAGGCAGGACAGGAAGCAGCTTGCTCCCCGTCTCCTTGGACTTCCCAGTAACGGCCTGACAACAAAGACAAGTGAGTCCAACCAGGTAGGCGCGACCACCCAAAGAGATGGGGAAGTGGTTTTAAGTCGTTTGATATTTACTTTAAAAGTCAAAGCAATCGCTGAGCTAAAGCCAGCGCCTTGTTCTAAAGTAGACTGCCTTAAGTTGCGGTTTAGTGTCGGGTTGTGTTTTTATGTAGGAGAGAGGAATAAGATAGTTTTTGTTTGTTGGACTCTTGGTTTTAATTCATCCTTGCAGACTAAAACTGGCAATGTTCTCACAAGCATGTACCAAATGTGTGCTTCGGCTGGGTCCAGGGACACTGGCTTACGAAGCCTAGCTTGGCGTTGCACCCCAGCTGTGTGGCTGAGGGGAGGTAACAGGTACACAGGGCAGGCGGCATCAGCTGCTTTGTGACAGATGGTAAGCAGCTCCCCATGCTCCCTGATCCACCTGGGGACCCCTCCCCTTGGGGTTCCCTCCCTGCCTCTGCCCACCCTGCAGAGGTGGGGAGGGTGCCTCCCCCCTGTGACCATCCCCTGGGAGGTGGCATTGCACTTCAGAAAGCACGGGGGCCGGGCCAGTGGGTCATCTTCAGATCTCCCCTTGCACAAGCTTTGATGTCACCATGAACTGGGCCTGTCCCGGTAGAGGATTGCCACAGGTCCAGGTAGGCGAAGGTGCCTCTGGGGTGGTCAGAAAATGCCCGAGAAAGCAGGTGTTGCTGTCTGCACTGTGGAAATGCCGGCTAGCTCCTCTGAAGTGGAGAGGAGAACCCCCAGAAATGGGGTTCTGGCAACAGAAAAAGAGTTCAAAATTCAGCCTCTTTTAAGTTACACAATTTAATATTCTTCTTAAAAGGCACAGTGACGGGCTAATTTCTCTTTCTAATGGCTCTGTCTGCTGTATGCACCGCAGAAGATTGAGTCCAGGGCTCGGCACCCTGGGCAGGTCCTCCACCAACTAACCCACGACCCCAGCCCTGGCTTTTCCTCCGCTAGGCCACCGAAGCTACGGCAGCAGTAAGAAGAAACACGTAGGTACGCACATGAATGCTGCGTTGGTGTACACCCTTTTATTCCTACAAAGACTCCTCACTGGAGTTAGATTACAGGCTGACTTACAAATCAGATTTTATTGGAAAAGGGCTGGACACTGAGTGGGGCGGGGCTTACAGGACAGGTTATATTGAATCTGGACCCTCAGGAGGGTGAGGCTGCGGTGGCGTGCGGTGCGAAGGCGGCCTTCTTTAGCTCTACTTCTGGGCTGTATCTCAAGGCTCGAAGCTGAGGGCTAAGTAAGAGGTTGGGGAGAGTCCAGACTTCCCCATTATGAAGGAGCCCACCTGGAGAGGAGGGAGCATGGCTGAAGGCGCCAGCAAACCGCGCAGCACCTCGAAGGCAGTGGCCTGCCCTCGCTGGCTGCCGTTCTGCTGCCCCCTTGGTTGTATTTCCTCCTTCCCTCCTCTCTCCTCCCAGCCGGGCTGAGAGGACGAGGACCCTTCAAACCCCCAGCAAACGGAGGACAAGCTGACTGCCGCTCTCGGCAGGTCTGCGCCCCAGGTGGGCCAGCTCCAGCGTGAGCTGTGGACGCGCTCTACGCCCCTCAGGGCAGCAGAGGTTCTGCCGGGAGCTGGAGCGTGGGTCTGAGCCCTCGATTCGCTGGTTTGGTTTCCTCCTCTTAAATATTGGGTAATCGCTTTTATAGTAATTTCTCTCGGCGTTGGCGTGGCGATAAATGAGAAGGCATTCTGGACGGTACCCAGTGTCATATGTTAGCCATGTTTATTGTGGACCTATTTCTTGCTTTCCCCTTCTTCTCTGCTCCTCCCTCTTTTTCTTTCCCTTTCCTGTCCTAAGCCCAATTACTGATCCATACCTTCTTCGATGGACACGTCTTACATCTTAGTGGTAGCTCTCTTTCCTTCCGAACAGAGAGAGGACGGAGAGACAGACTGGGTAGCCCATGACAAACACTGCCAGCACGACAGAGGCCTACCTTAAGGGAGAGCAGGCCTTTACCCGGTAATCTGAGAGCAGGCCTAGGGTAAGAGATTCGGGGAGGGGCTTGTCGCCTCTGGAGCAATAGGACAATTGCAACAGTCTTCGTAGGGTGGAGGAATGCATGGTGAGCTGAGGTAATGGCCTTTGAGGGCACGCTGCCCATATGCCTGCCACTGGGAGCCCTGTTAGTGACCACCGTGAAACACAAACTCAGACGTGGCGACAGCCTCACAGCCTGTCTAGATGAGCCACGGGTTGCGATGGCTTCCCAAGGCAGCCACAGTGGTGGCCGCCGGGCTGGGCACCCGGTGACCGCCACTGTGGAATCGGGCTGGTTCCCTAGCTGTAAGGCAAGAGGTTGGAAGAGCTCACCTTCAGGGCGTGCCAGAGCTGTGGCTCTGCCTCGGGAGGGCACCACAACAGCTTGGTCACCTGTAGATAAGATGTCTCTACTGCAGGGTTCTGGAGGGACTGAGGCTTTGGAATTAGTGTGTTAGGGTGTGAATGAGGCAGCAGATGTTTGTTGGACAAATGTTGGCCACATGAATAAGACTGAACATGGGTAATTACAGCTCAGTCTTTTACTAGGAGACATCCAGAAGCTAGTCTAATTCCATTCACTTGGGAAGTTAGATGTTTGGTTGATTAGGCACAATCCAGGGGTGACATAGCTCTTGGGACCTTTGCTTGGGTGTCAGTTACTTTTGCTCAGAAGTTTTGGTATGAGTCACCATCCCTCATTCTGTTAGAAATGTGACCAGATTTTCTTTTAAGATGTCTGAGCCAAACTTTGGGCAGAGTACAGAGGGTCTTACGGAAGAGCCAGGGGACAGAAGGACCTGGAGGGCACAGGAGCTCCACAGAAGACCAACACAGCTAACAAATCTGGATCCAAGAGGTCCTGCAGAGACTGATGCACCAACCAAAGACCATGCATGGAGAGGACCTAGACCCCCTGCTCAGATGTAGCTGATAGGCAGCTTAGTCTCCAGGTAGTCTCCAGTTCCCTAGTAAGGGGAACAGGGGCTGCCTCTGACATGGACTCTGTTGCCTGCTCCTTGATCACTTCCTCCAGGTGAGGTGGCATTGCCATGCATGCAGGATGCATGAGACTTGGTAGACTGGGGTCAGTTGGTGTGGGAGGAGGCAGGGGAGAAGAGAGAGGGAGGGTGGGACTGGGAGGAAATGGGGGGGGCTGTGCTCAGCATATAAAGTGAATTAAAAAAA